AAATTCACTTTTCCGCAGGGACCTCGAAACTTAGACCCGTTTGCTGCCACGCGCCTGCGCTTGCTTCTTAATTGGAATTGCATTTGCATCTGTCCCCCTCTTTTTGGGGGCGACGGGGTGCTTGGGGACCGCCTGGGTGTACGGACCCCCAAAGCAGAGGCTGAAAAACCTTCTAGCGCATCCTTTCTGCCCCGCCGTAGGATCGAGCCTGGCGACATCGCTCCTGCCAGACGCGCTTAGGCTAGAGGGGTATGTGCCGCCCGGGTCTGGCTGCTCAGGAAATCAGCTGGCTGCCTTTAGCTCGCTGGCGAGCACGCATCTCGGGAGCAGGGCGCAGCGGGCTCCCGTCGGGCAGAGCTGCAGGCAGCGAGGGCTCCTGGTAGCATTTTTGTTTTTTTTTTTTAATTTTATTTCTGGGAAACACAGACCACCAGGCTGAAGGAGAGTTGGAGTGATAGGAAGCTGTCATCCCCTCTCGGGGAAAAATTTCTTCTTTGCGCTGCAGGCTGGATCCTGCTTGGGGAATGAGGTCCCCGTGCTCGCCGAAACGCTCACGGCAGCAGCTCTTGGGACGCGGTGCACCCGTCGAGCTCTTTCTGTGCGAGCAGGAGGCTCCGGCAGATACCGGGGCTGTCCCGCGCATCCCTAAACCTCTCGCAGAAAGCGGGGAAGCAAGACGAAGGGCTTGTGCCGCGCCGTGCATGCGATGGCTCTGCAGTGTCCCACCCACCTCCCATCATCTGTTCTGGTTTCCCTTCTCCCTCCCCCCTGTTGCTATTTATCCCAAATGCCATTTTTATCTCTCTTCATGCTCTGACTATACATTCGAGCTTCTGGGCAAGATGCTGGTAATTTCCATACAGCTTATAACATAAAAAGAAACGTTCAAAAGCTTCCAGAAACGCATCAGACCTGCAGCGGCCCCGATGACACGGCCTGCTGCTAAGTTTAGGGGAGGGGGGGAGGCGGAAAAAAAATCTAACGTGGTCATTTTGACAGGGAAAATGCTGGAAATGAATGAAGTGAAGGATTTTTAGGCATCGCAGAACGTCCTCCCGGTTCGGCAGTGCTCTGAAGCCCAGTGGTATGAGGTGGCATAGTATGAAATGAGGTGGTATAGTATGAAACGAGCTTTTTGACCCCGGTATTTTAGCGCCTAGCTTTTGATTCGGTACGCGTTCATTAGTTTTAAGAAATGTCAGGCATTCGCCGCTCCTCACTTCTAATTTGCAGCTCAGACCCAACGTCTCTGAAGAGGGACACCTGTGAGCACTCCACGTTTTGCACAGCCTTTCCCAGCAGCTCCCTTTTGGGTTTTTTTTTCCCCCCTCATATTGTAATTTTTGTTCAGAGGTGGGTCTGTGCTGTACCCCGCCGCCTTCCCAGCCACGCAGCCGGACTTGCTCTCCGTGGTGGTGGCATTTAGCCCCGCAATTTGCTCCTACGCAGAACCAAGCAACCCGCATTCCTCTTTCGAACGCACACGTCTACTCTCGTTAGCCTTGCAATTCACGGATGCAAAGCCGAAAGCCCCAGACGGATTTTTTTTTTTTTTTTTCCCTTTTTTTTTCCCCCCCATTCTAAGAGCTCATCACCCATCAGTTCCCATTATACTCAAGGCTGGAGCTCTTTTGAAAATACACCACATGTTCGGCTGCCTAAATGGGCCTTTGTGAAAACCTGTGCTCGACCTCTCCCGTCGCAGGCTGGGGCGTCGCGAACATTTTGGGAGCGAAGCTGCTGTGGGCAGCCCCCCCGCCCCGCCGCCGCACTTTTCTCCGTCTCTGAAGCCGCTCCAGCTGGCAAGCGAGGTGCCCCTGCATAAGCACAGCACCTGGTAAATATTGCCATCTAAAGCTTTGCTTCGGGGCAGGGGGGGGGAAAAGCAAAATGAGATTAATTGAGGTGTCCAGAGGGCTTATGTGCCATTCCCAGCGATACACAGAGTCAGTGGGAAAACAATACGGAGCCGTGACGGGGGGCGGGAAGGCGACGCGTTACGTGAAAGCGGAAAGACGTGGGTGAATTCGGAGCCGGCTCCGCAAAGGCGTGTTACCGGGCTGGGAGATGTCTCGCCTGCGCCCTGGCTCTGGTACTGCTGCGCTGGGAATTCGGTCGGTCCTCGAGCTCGGCAGGGCGTTGGGAGTTCGGAGGAGGAGCTGGGCTGTATGGAGCTGCTGGTGTGCCGCTGTCTTGTCTTTTCTTTCCTCTTGTCACGCTCCAGGTAGCAGGATTTGATACCAAGGGCTCGAGGCTGTGGTTCGCAGGATGCTGGCAGGGTTTTTAATCTGTGGTCTGGGAAACGTGAGGGAAGAAAGCAAGACTCTTATCGGGAGGCTTTACTTTTGGACAGAGACCCCCACAAATCACAGGTTGGAAAATCACTGCCCGGAGCGTGGGTTTTGGGAGCACTCTGTCTCCTGCCGCCCTGCAGCAGGATGGGCTGGGGAGGGAGAATTGTGGAATCGTTGAGGTTGGCAAAGACCTTTAAGATCATAGAATCATAGAATCGTTGAGGTTGGCAAA